ACCCTGGTCAACAGATGATAAAATATGTGTGCCCCCACCTGCCCCAATTAACAGATGATAAAATGTTGCACCCACCCTTCTCAATTAACAGATGATAAGATATGTATGCACCCAATCACCCCAATAAACAGGTGATAAAATATGCCTGCACACACCCTCTCCTATTAACAGATGATAAAATATGTGCACACTCCCATCCCAATGAACAGATAATAAAATGTGTGTGCACCCACCATGCCCAATTATGAGATGATAAAATCTTTCTACACCAACTCACACCAATTTACAGATGATAAGATATGTCTGCACCCACCCTCCCCAATTAACAGATGATAAAATATGTCTGCACCCACCCTCCCCAATTAACAGGTGATAAAATATGTGTGCACTGGCCCACTTTAATTAACAGACGGGGGCACGGGTGGCCCAGTCGCCTAAGACGCTGTGATTCGCTGTGCAGAGTTGCGTCCTTTGGGCACGCTAGAAACCTTTAATTGTGGGTTTGAATCCCGGTTTGCCCGATATGTTTCTAGGTTTATCAGCACCATACCCGTGCTCGTTGGTTTCACCGAAGTGATAAACGTCTGAGACCTGCATCACTTGGGGCTTTCCTCCCACATTAAGCTGACACGCCGATATATAACTGGAATACTGTTAAAAGCGGTGTTAAACCCAACTCACTCACTCACTCACTCATTTAACAGACAATAAAATATGTGTACACCCACCCCAATTAACTGATGATAAAATATGTGTACACCCAATCACCCCAATAAACAGATGATAACAAATATGTGCAATGAACATTTCACAGCTAGTTTGTTCTATTTACTATTCATCTCTTGTTTCCTTGTGTAGGATGCGGATGAAGATTACTCAGAAGTCATGAATGACCCAGCATTTTTACAAAGTGTTTTGGAAAATTTACCAGGAGTTGATCCAAACAGCGAGGCTATTCAAAATGCTGTTAGCTCGTTAACAAATAAAGATGGTACAAAGAAAGAAGATGGAAAGAAAGACAAGGACGCCAAATGAGTTGGGATGAACCTCAACATTATACATTGTTATCATTTTGAAAGTTCGGAATACCACATCACCATCCAGCCTTTTATGCAAAATTGTACAATTCTGACCGGTTTGTTACCTGACTTAGTCATTCTGAACGTAGCCTCACTAGTTCAGTTATTGAAATAATGGTTTCGAGAGTTAAGAGTGAGGACTTTCCAGTTTTGCATATAATGGTTTTGTTCATGAGTAATGTAAATGATACAATGCTTTGTGTATTAATCTTTAGGATTGGAAGAACAGAGCTATAACTTGGAAATTGATGTTAACAGTTTTGCAGCCTTGTTTGCAATCATTTCATTCATGAAACACACGTGATGTGTTGTCAATGTGTCAACTACCAAAATAAATGTATGCCATAAACATGGTTGATGTTTGATTCTTCTTTCCATGTCCATTGTAGGCAGAGCTTGTCAGTGCCTTGTAGGCCGAACTTGTCAGTCCCTTGTAGGCGGAACTTGTCAGTGCCTTTTAGGCAGAGTTTGTCAGTCCCTTGTAGGCGGAGCTTGTCAGTCCCTTGTAGGCGGAGCTTGTCAGCCCCTTGTAGGCGGAGCTTGTCAGCCCCTTGTAGGCGGAGATTGTCAGTCTTGTAGGCAGAGCTTGTCAGCCCCTTGTAGGCGGAGCTTGTCAGCCCCTTGTAGGTGGAGCTTGTCAGTCCCTTGTAGGCAGAGCTTGTCAGTCCCTTGTAAGCAGAGCCTGTCAGTGCCTTGTAGGCAGAGTTTGTCAGTCCCTTGTAAGCAGAGCTTGTCAGCCCCTTGTAAGCAGAGCTTTTCAGTCCCTTGTAGGCAGAGCTTTTCAGTCCCTTGTAGGCAGAGCTTGTCAGTGCCTTGTAGGCAGAGCTTGTGGGTGGGTAGGGGGGTGGGGGGGTGCAGTCGTCTAAGGCGCCGCGATTTGCTGTGCAGAGATGCGTCCCTTGGGCACACCAGAAACCAATGATTGTGGGTTCAAATCCCGCTTGGCCCCGATTATGTTTCTAGGTTTGTCAGCACCAAACCCATGCTTGTGGGTTTCACCAAAGTGGTAAATGTCTGAGACCTGCATCACTTCGGGCTTTCCTCCCACATTTAGCTGACACACCCTGATATGACTTGAATACTGTTAAAAGCGGCATTAAACCCAACTCACTCACTCACTCTTTTCTTCTGACTCCTGGAAATAAATCAGTACTCAGATGTAATTTACATCTATACCTGGCTTATTCCAACACTAGCAAGATCAGAGAAAATGGTTTGGGGATCTTGCCAGTTTCTTGGTAGTTTTTCTGGCTCCCGTTTCCGTCAATGTCAACCAATTGAGAGGCAGGCTACTTTACTTGTTGAAGACCCTCTTGATCTCATGGGTTGCATGACTCATCACGATCTCCGCCCCCTCGGTATATTCCCTCCTCTCAGGGTTTACAATCACAAGTAGTCCCAAGGATACGTGGTTTGTCCAACTTATGAGCCAACTCATCACATAGGTAATAAGAAAACATCGAGGTATCTTATGTTGAAACAATATATGTTCTGCGATATAAAAGGAATTCAATCAATCTTTGAGAAAAACCAGTGCAGCATGGACCAACTGGATTCATGACTTGTAAAATTGAACAACCTTACGTCACCTGCCCCGGTGGCTCAGTGGGTTACAAAACAAAACATCCTCAAGTGTGAGGTTTATTAAGTCAGGTAAGGCTCTTCAATTTGCAGTCTTGGGTTACGTGCCTTAGGTTGGCCAGAGACTGAGAGTTGTTTCCAATCCGTTTTCGCCCTGATAACAGTTCTCGGGTTTGTCACCATTCCCGTGTTTCTGGGTAATACAACAAAAGAACAATGAATAGTGTGGAATGTGAGAAGAGTAGAGAAGGTGCATTTGTGCCTGTTCCAGGAAGTATTGAAGTATGCGTAAAGTGTTTGATAAACGTTTTATCAGCGCCCCTATGTCGTACTGTGTCAGCTGAATGTTAGAGAAGATTGAGTGAGTTAGAAGTTAACGTCGCATCGGCATTATTTTAGCCATATAGCGACTGTTAGAGAAGTGAAGTGAGGTTAGGTGAGGTTGAACATTGCGTTCAAAATTGTTTCACAAGCGACACGTGTGTCTGCTGTCTATATCTTAGTATAGTCTCCCTGATGGAGGTGGGCAGGAGCTTGCATCATGACATCACTTCCTTGACACGCATCGGTTTTCATGACGAAACAGTCATAGGTGAGGTGAAATTGGGTTTGACGTCGCTTCGAAGATTATTGCCATTATATAGCTACGTTCATGCACGTGTGTGCCTATGGGACTGCTTGTATTTGTCCGGACTAATACCGATTTTATAGTGCTAGCCCACTAAGATACCTTGCCGCAGTTTAACATGAATACCCAACTCACACACAGTTTACCGACTCCGAGCTGGCCAGTCCTTGATTTAGCCCCGTAATGCCGAGCACAAGGCAGGGTAACAACAAGTACGTTTTCTTAACGTCTTTTGGTATGACACGGCCGGGGCTCGCCAGACGCTCTACCACTAGCCCACGGAGGCGGTCTGCACCCTTCAAAGCTGGAACGGATGGCGTCTGTCCTACATCAGGGATGTGAAATCTCCGTGGAAACAGGAGTCCTCGGAAAAAATCATCTTCCGCGTAAAAATATAATCAATGATTAAAAAAAAAACACTCCGAAAAATATGATCGAAAACCGGACATCCGTCGCTGGTAGTCCTGTTTTCGATCAGAGCTTTCAGCAGCATAGGTTTTCGCACATCATACGTTTTCTATCACGAATACTATATATTACAGTATATTACAAAGACACGGACACGCATCACTTCTTGGTCTTTCTTTCAGCCACCACACTGAGGTTGGTTTTCCATATTGTCCCACCAGGTGAGTTTGCACCATTGCGGCTGGTGATAGTATGAGTGAAAAGCGTCTAAAATACTTAAAACACTTATCTTACTTCACAATAGTCCAGAAGACCCGTGAAGATGCGAGGTAGAAAAGGTCTGAACTGTCTGGTTTAGACTCGATTTTTTACAGACCACAGACCTAATTTCAGATCGCATTGTGAAACCATCTTCATGAGATCAGTCATCTGAGATCTCCAAACTATAACTCCAACAGAGGACAAAAACGTTATTACGGCAGTGTCGACGTTTAATCCTAACAATCAAAGTATTATGTCTATCCCACAATAACTTGGAACTTAAATACAAAGATAGGACACTTTCCATGTATTGATATACAAACTTTTTGAGCAACTTGACGTCCATGTTTGGTGACCTCATACTTGAAATTTCTACAGGGGTGATACAAGTTGGAGAGCGCATTCACGTATTCACGTTGTGTTTTGTTCTGTATACATATGAGGAAATATTCTTCGTTGTGTTTTGTTTCATATATATATGAGGAAAATGTTCATAGATCCAATTTGTCATCATGTGCAAGTTGTTGTGACATCTTGATTCATAAACATATGCTAATGATGTGGTTGGAATTGTAGAATGGATTTCATATGATTAAGGAAATGCTTTTGTCGCTTTTATCTTTTATTAACAGAATTCATTATTTCCCTTTCTCTCTATCCTCTCCCACTATCTCTCGCTCTCCCTTTCTCCCCTCCTCTTCCCCTCTTCTCTCTGTCTCTCTGTGTCTCGGGGCGGTCGGGTAGCCCAGTGGTTAAAGCGTTCGCTCGTCACACTGAAGACATGGGTACAATGTGTGAAGCCCATTTCTGGTGTCCCCCGCCGTGATATTGCTGGAATATTGCTAAAAGCGGCGTAAAACCATACTCACTCACTCATACTCTCTCTCTCTCTCTCTCTCTCTCTATGTGTCTCTCTCTCGTTCGCTCTTTCTCTCTCTGCCTCTGTCTGTCTTTCCTTCCCTTTCTCTCTGTCAGTCTCTGACTGCTGAACTGCCACAGGGAGTGCACAGTTCTCAGGTGTCACGTGGTATGCTTGCATTGTTTGTCGGCCTTCGCTTAGTCACAGCGAGGGTCGCACTTCATAAAACGTGTGCGGCTGAGTTTGATCACATGCTTGGAAGTTGAGGACCATTGCAGGCTCACAGAAATCTCATCTCCCAAGGACTTGTCCCAGGCCGAGTGAGTTTTCATACTTTTACTTTTTTTGGTATATGCAGCCATGAATTGATAAATCTACTGTACTTCTCATATCACACACGGCGCATTGCGAGACACGAAGCAAAAAGAGTATTGACACTTGGCAAAGTTATCAGCAAGTAGAACACCACTTTTGTCAACGTGACCATTATGTGCTCGAGACGAGATCGAGTGGGAACCAAAATGGCAGTGACTGTCACGGGATCTACTTTAGTTTCTGTTTAGTAGATCGGCAAATACGCACGAGTTGAAAGGTCTGAACGAAGAGTAAAATCTATTCTGGAATCACAACTTAATCTGAACATAAAGATATACTTGAAGTATAGTCTACTGTGAACACGAAATTGCATGTCTACACAATTGTTACATAGTTTATGTATGTGGCGGGTCATGTTCTGTTTAACCGGCCTCGGGAGGTAATTGAAGCTTAATTCGTTTTTTTACAGTTGCTATTTCTGCACATCCTTTGTTTTCCCTGCGTGTAAAGACACCCTACCCCCCACCCCACCACCCCTCTCTCCGTGTCAGATTTCGGAGATAATGTACTTCCCTTTTGAGCAACACGGTCATTTCCTTTACGGGAGTTATCTCGTGAATTGGCATACGCACAGTTCGACCTCCCTGACATCGAACACACAATGCCATTTAGATAGTGGTCATATGTAACAAATGTTATATTTGGGCTAACACATTCTTAGTAGAGTACAGGTTCTATTACTTTTTTTTTTGTGGGGGGGGGGGGGGGGGGGGGGGGACTCAACGCTTGGTTACAACACTTGGTTGCAACGCTTTGTTACAACGCTTGGTTACAACGCTTGGTTACAACACTTGGTTGCAACGCTTTGTTACAACGCTTGGTTACAACGCTTGGTTACAACGCTTGGTTACAACACTTGGTTGCAACGCTTGTTACAACGCTTGGTTACAACTCTTGGTTACAACGCTAGGTTACAAAGCTTGGTTACAACGCTTGGTTACAACACTTGGTTACAACGCTTAGTTGCCTGCTGAGCCACATACGGGAATAGCGTAAACACCAAACGTTTTGGAGGACATAATTCGCGAAAATATTTGTTAAGAAATGTTTTTAGCGGAGCAGCTTATAGGGGACACGGATGAGACAATTGTCCTAGGCGCAGCAATTCGCTGTTTAGAGTTGTCTACCGTATGTGTGCCCGGAGCCTAGCTTCGTGTGTTCTATTCCCAGATTCCAGATGCGCCCTGAGTATGTCCTCTCGTTTGCTCCACGTGCACGTGACTGTCAGCACAGTGGTAGACATATAAGACCTGCAACATGGTTTTCCTCCCACATTAGGCCAGCACGTTTGGATGTACCTGAAAATGTTCAAAGTTGCGTTATCTATCTATCGACGTTAAACCAAACACATTCACTCACGAGGATGAGCTGGCAATGTCGTTGTTAACCTTCTAGCACCTTACAGTCAGCTTGGGTTGTAAATCCCCCAGGGAGCTGAGAATGATTGTTGAGTGCACACTGACCCAGTGACCTGGGTAATAACAGCGATTTGAGCATGCCCCTGAGTGGTGTTGAAATATGCGCAATACAAATTGCCTATTATTATCAATTGACGTTAACCTAAACACATTCCCACAAATAATGGTGCCTATCTATCGACGTTTAAACCAAACACAATCCTTCAACTAAAGACGACTATCTAGCGACGTTAAACCAAACACAATCCCTCAACTAAAAATGCCTATCTATCGACGTTAAACTAAACACACTCCACTAAAGACGCCTATCTATCGACGTTAAACTAAACACACTCAATTAAAGACGTCTAGCGAGCGACGTTAAACCAAACACACTCCACTAAAGACGCCTATCTATCGATGTCAAACCAAACTCACTCACTCAATTAAAGACGCATATCTAGCGACGTTAAACCAACCCCACTCCACTAAAGACGCTTATCTAGCGACGTTAAACTAAACACACTCAACTAAAGACGCCTATCTATCGACGTTAAACTAAACACTCTCCACTAAAGACGCCTATCTATCGACGTTAAACTAAACACACTCAACTAAAGACGTCTAGCGAGCGACGTTAAACCAAACACACTCCACTAAAGACGCCTATCTATCGACGTTAAACTAAACACACTCCACTAAAGACGCCTATCTATCGACGTTAAACTAAACACACTCAACTAAAGACGTCTAGCGAGCGACGTTAAACTAAACACACTCCACTAAAGACGCCTATCTATCGACGTTTAACCAAACTCACTCACTCAACTACAGACGCCTATCTATCGATGTTAAACCAAGCACACGCAACTAAAGACGTCTATCTAGCGACGTTAAACCAAACACACTCCACTAAAGACGCCTATCTATCGACGTCCAAACTCTCTCCACAAAAGACGTCTATCTAGTGACGTCAAACCAAGAACACGCCACTAAAGACGCCTATCTAGCGACGTGAAACCAAACACACTCAACTAACGCCGTGATATAACTTGAATACTGTTAAAAGCGGCGTTAAACCCAACTCACTCACTCATTCTGTTCTTATCACCATGTTAGCTGAGGGGTTGGTAGGGCCATAGTTCAAGATGAATTCATGCTACATAAATATTAAAAGCCAACATATTATCAAAGTAAAATGGTTTACATCCTGTGGTCCCCGAACAATGAGGAAGTCCATGCTGTGTCAAACCTACCGGAAGAACCAAGATTGTCTGACACTCGTGACTCGGACGAATTTGTAACCTTTGGACTCCGTTACAAAGAAATGACAAGCCCTTTTTGAGATGAGTGAGTGAGAATAGTTTTACTACCACTTAACTGTCGTAATACACTCTTCAAAAAAAGAAACGCAAGGTAGATTTTAGTAAATTTATTGTACCTAAAGTCGATATATTTAATTCAATATCATAGATTCAAATATGAAATTTTGGGGCTCGATAGTCACATGTTGTCTGTGTACAAAGGAATTGAAAACTGTTCATTGTCATGTCATAAGGCTGCGCTGAACTCAGTATCTCGTGTGACCGCCCCGGGCAGCAATCACGGCTCTGCATCTCCTCGGCACTGACTGTTAAGTGTGCAAATTCTGTCCTGAGGAATTCTGCGTGTAACGCGTTGGCCAGTTGTGGGGGGCTGTCTGCGGCGTGTTCTGACGTTGACGTAAACGTCGATCGAGTTCATCCCAGAGGTGTTCGATTGGGTTGAGATATCGACGGCCAGGGCAAGACGTTTATGTTGGCATTATGAAGAAGGTAGTCTACCGTGACACGAGCTGTGTGCGGTGGAGCGTTGTCCTGTCAAAACAGCTCGCTCTGGCGATCAATGATTGGAAGAAGGTGAGGTTGAAGAATTTGATTCCTTTAGCGATTTGCTGTCAAATTTCCCTGAACCACAACCAAGTCAGACCTCCTGGTGTGATATGCTCTCTCCCCCTCCACCCCCCCCCCCCCCCCCCCAAACACACACCATGATACTACCGCCACCGAAATTGTCGAATTCACGTACACAATGTGGGGCAAAACGCTCATTTCGACGACGATAAACACGTTGTCTTCCATCTCGCCGGTGAAGAAGAAATCGTGGACAATTGAATGACTTATTGTCTTATGCTTCCCTTTTTATAGCCACTACCACGAGTTACGAATGCCATAACATGCACGTGCAGTTTGCTTTACTGTTTTCTTCCATGACATTTTGTAACAAGTGTGAAAACGATACCGTTATAAGACATTGCAAATCGACAATGGCTCCGTTTGTCGAATATCACATATAACATATATCTAATTTATATACCGGATTTTTTGTGTAGTCAGGTTCAATGAACTTCATACTACCTGTGCGTTTCTTTTTTTGAAGATTGTATATCACGGCGATTCGGGCGGTGGGGTAGTCAAGTGGTGAAGGCGCCCGCTCGTCACGATGAATACCCGGGTTCAAATCCACACATGGGCAAAATGTGAGAAGCCAATTTCTGGTGTCTCCCACCGTTATGTTGCTGGCATATCCCTACCGGCGTAAAACCCATACTCACTCACTCACTCACTCACGGCTTTACAGAAACATGTGAGAACAAAGCGTGAAATGATCAGTCAGAACGTGACAATTAGTGCTGAGATTTATCCCTCAGATACAAAAAAAACCCTTTCTAATATGCTCCTATAACCTCGTCCCTTTCGTAATTACTGGAAAGCTTGGGGCGGTCGGGTAGCCTAGTGGTTAAAGCGTTCGCTCGTCACGCCGAAGACCGGGTTCGAATCCCGACATGGGTACAATGTGTGAAGCCCATTTCTGGTGCCCCCCCCCCCCCCCCCCCCCCTCGTGATATTGCTGGGATATTGCTAAAAGCGGCGTAAAACTAAACTCACTCAATCACTACTGGAAAGCTCAGGCTCCACCATGCGCGCTGTTGGAGCCAGTGAAAATGGTCTTTGGGTTTTATTCATGTGTCAGTCTGGTCCTGGGTCGATCGTGTACAGGGCGTCATAGTATTGGTGACACAAGACTCTGTCTCTCTCACTTGACTCCCCAGAAGTTGAACCTGCGATATAAAACAATTTATGGGGTAGCATGCGACAAAACACTTCACAGGGCTCAACACTCGTGGCAGATTTGATAAAATAACTTACACTCGAATCGGTGTGTGACGCACACCCCTCTCCCATCCGCTGACCAAGATATTCACCTCTTATATCATACAAAACTAGGTTATGCTTCTATTGTTCACTCTAACATTGTTTATGAAAGCCTCAGGCACCTGCATACATAATTCACTCACCCACTCGCCAGCTCACTTACTAAAACACGCACTCACTCACTCACTCACTCATCCATTGGTTGACAATCCCACTCACTGTTGACAATGCAATAATGATATGAACTATTTTCAATTCCCGTCTGTGCGAAGTTGTTTCCCGTAGTCCTACCAATAACCCACGATCGTGGGTTCGAACCCCAGGTTCGCCCAGTCTGTGGTTTGTTACCACCATACCCGTACTCGTGGACTCCAAAAAAAAGGGTAAACGTCCCCCACCTCGGGCTTTCCAGCCACATCAAGCCGACACACCGTGATATAAATGAAATACGGCATTAAGCTACCCCACCCTCCTCACTCACTCGATTAAATTCGTATCCCTTTGAGTGTTGCAATAATTGGTTGATTTCAATTTGGTGAATAACACGGGCTATTTTACAGTATTAAGTATGTCTTCAAATGTCACATTTTCCATTTGTAATGGTTTATAATTTCTGTTACAGTCCTGACAATGGACGTGTGGTGTCTTTCCGGCATCGTCTTTCTATTGGTCATCACGCAAGCCTCGGCCAACGCAAATAAATGTCAGAAATATTGCGTTTGTAGCAGCAAGAAGCATAAAATGGGCTGTCATGGAGTGGTCCTCACCTATGTACCAAGAGCACCAAGATACGTTATGGAGTATGAACTGAGCAGCGCTAGTATTGGCCAACTGACCAGAGAGCACATGAAGAACCTGACTGATTGTGGTCTCACAAAGCTCGTCCTTAAGAATAACAGCATCACCGGTATTGACACCAATGCCTTTGTGGACCTGCATTATTTACAGAAACTGTCCTGGGAGCAGGATTACTTTCCTCTTTCCGACTTTGAACAGTCAATAAAACAAGTTTCCCGTAACCTCACTGATGTTTCGATATCAGCGTTCATCCTTGACAAGCATTCCACATCTGCGTCTAGCTTTCAACATCTTGATAATCTTCAATCACTGAAGCTTAACATGCGTCAATTGAAATCGTTTAATGCAACAGGTTTGAGCAAATTGATCAAGTTGACTGGTTTGGACTTAAGTACGAATCGATTACGAAGCCTCTCGGTCACAGAGATCGTATCAAACTTGAAACACTTGAATCTGGGGCAAAATGACTTGACGGAGGTTCCTCAACTTTGTTTAAACAAATCTGCTCCATCCATTCCCCAACTGAGCAAACTTGTCCTGCTTGACAACGCCATCCGAATTTTGGAAACTAGTGGTATATCCTGCTTGAAGAAAATAAAGAAGTTGGTTCTTTCACAAAATAGAATCGAGACTTTGAGCGATAATGTCTTTGCCGACTTCGCGGAACTCACAGAACTTCAATTGTCAAGGCTGACGTCGTTACAATATGTGGAAGATTTGGCGTTCAACTCGACATCTTTAACTAAAATACTTTTCACGGAGAATCCTAAACTGACAAAGAAGAAATTCAAGCCTGCTTCTTTGTTTTCTGAAACTCCTCACCTGACAACACTTGACCTCACCAACACTAAGTTAGATATAAGCGTAATGGACTTAAAGGCGTTACTCTTGACACTGACCAAGGTCAAACACCTCACGATGCAGAGGACATTTATCAAAGAACTCCCAACAGGAGTATTTTCAAGACTAACACAGCTGGAGAATGCAACATTTTCAGGAAACATGTTAACAGGTTGGAATAAAGACGTCTTTGCCAATGTTACCAATATAAAGCGCATATTCTTTGACGGATGTAACATCAAGACAATAAATGAAAGCTCTCTGCCGTTGGAGTTCCGTCTGAGTGTGAAGGAAATTGATTTAGCTAATAACCCGTTTATCTGTACCTGTGATTTGTTGTGGTTCAAGACATGGATGGATCAAGTCAGGGCTAACGGGAGTATCGTGTTTTCCCAGTACCCGCACAGATACGAATGCAGATCGCCGAACATCAAACCTCTCAGACTTGCGGATTTCCATCCGACAGAAAAATCATGCACAGCTACAAAACTATACACAATCATTCTGACAATTGTATTGTCTGCGAGCGTGGTCATCACTGTGACAGTGTTGGTAGTCTATCGGTATCGGTGGTACCTCCTCTACTGGATATCGCTGTTCAGACGACGACGACAAAACAAGGGTGAACCGGAAGAGAATCAATACGACGCCTTTGTCTCCTACAGCAACCCCGACGGGGACTGGGTCTACGACGAGCTTCTGAACTTCCTCGAGGGGGAGGTTGGGCTGAGTCTGTGTGAGCACAGCAGAGATTTCCCAATTGGTAGATACATCATCGACAACGTCATGGATGCCTTGGACACCAGCAGAAAGACCATCTTGGTCATCTCCAACGAGTACATGAAGAGTGACTGGTGTCAGTTTGAGCTTCAGATGGCTCTGCACTCATTTCTGAAACACAAAATTGACATTGTGGTGATTCTACTTGACCAGATCAAAGCAGATCACGTTACGGCATCTCTACGAGCTCTGATGATGTCAACCACTTTTATTCAATGGTGCGATGATTTTGAGGCCAAGGCACTTTTTAAGGAGAGGGTAAGGAAAATCATGTGTGAAGGTGACATTATTGGTCAGAGAGACCATACAGGCCATGATATACACGCAGTTCCGGCAGATGACGATATCCTGTTGCCATGAACCAATGAAATTATTCAACATAATTTTGTTATGGAGTGATGACATTATTATTTCGGTCAACTGCCCTGTACAAACATAATGCTGACAAGGGAGCATTAACAGAACCCACTGGAATTCGCTGCGTAGAGTTGCATCCTTTAGGCGAGCCAGATCGTTTTTGAAAACAACGATCGACCACAAATATCTGGATGGTTTGTGCGGGATAGGGTTTGCGAAAGGGTTTCACATTTCATAGATTTCGTAGGCTTACTGTGTACAGTTCATTAAAAATGCAGACGCCTGTTATTGATGTTGCATGTCACATTACAGTTTGAAAGAGAAAATATTGTACGAGTACCATTGTTTAGAATATATAAAATATTTTACACCTGGAGATTCCGAGTGAGCGAGTGAGTATGGTTTTACGTCGCTTTTAGCAATACTTCAGCAATAATACGGCGGGGGACACCAGAAATGGGCTTTACACATTGTACGCATGTCGGGAATCGAACCCGGGTCTTCGGCGTGACGGGCGAACGCTTTAACCACCAGGCTACCCGACCGCCCCTAGGAGATTCCGAGATTCCTACAGCTTGTCATACAGTCATGTTTCTGGATCCAGTAGGGTCGGGTGGTGAGTTCTAGTAATCTGGTTGAATGTATGCCAAGGTGGAGGTTGAAGGCCGATCCCTTGTAATTTTGTTGCTTATGCTTTGTGTATATTAAACTCACTCGGGTTTTAGTACCTTTTTGACGGTAACTAGTAAACCAGATAGGCCTTTATTGTATATAGAACATCTTTCTAAAGTGCAAACGCTGCACCTTATGATCGTCTTATTATATGTGTTTGTTAAAATGCTAATCCTTAGTATCAGATTTATATATGTAAACAAACACACTTTATAGCCTTGGCTGACCGCTTGGTGTGATAAACTACCCCAGAGGTGGTTTTCTACTCCGGCGTCCGCGCTCTGTTGCCCCTTAAGGTATATAAGATTGAAATCAGGGTTAGTGAGTGAGTCAGTATGGTTTTACGTCGCTTTTAGCAATATTCCAGCAATATCACGGCGGGGGACACCAGAAGATCCAGGATAGAATAGCTCTTCAACAACCCATTCTTGTTCTAATAGGCGTCTATGCTTGTTGTAAGAGACGACTAACGCGATCAGGTGGTCAGGCTCGCTGACTTGGTTGATGCATGTCATTGTATCCAAATTGGGTGGATCGATGTTCATGATATCAGTCACTGGATTGTCTGGTCCTGTCTCGATTATTTACAGACTGCCGTCATGTAGGTGGAATATTGCTGAGTGCGGCTTTAAACAGCAAGCAAACAAAATGTAAGATTGAAGCTGTATTTCTTCTGCAGCCGTGTCGTGACAGATATAGGGTCAATCCTGCACTTCATGAAAAAAAGCATGAAACTTGGCACAATGTTTCATTTTTCACACTTTAGATTACCTAACTCAAAACAAATTGTTTACTAAAATATAGTTATTTACTTTACAGATGCAGTGTTGGGTAAATGAATTCCAAAATGTTCATTTTTCATAATATATTTAGGTTGTGGATCATGTTCAAACGAAATTTACTAGAATTTCATTCCTCCATGGCAGCCATATTGGATTTAGCGGCCATCTTGGAATTGTTTGGGTGGCCCAATATCTGAAACTGTTTGGAATATCATAACCTACAACTGTGCCAGGTTTCATGCTGTTATCACAGGGTGCACAATTGTTCACGAAACGGCTGCACTGGACAAGTTTGTACGGCAGCATCGTTAGCTCGACGGAAGTTCAAAGTCCGGAGTCGCTACAAGTTGCAAACAAAAGCTGGTATATATATTATATATATATAACAGGTGGTTTGATCCAATGTATGTTGATCTATTTATACTGGCGTGACAGTAACTTATACCTGTGTTAGATTTGATACCCTCTCTTTTCAGGTCAGGCCAGCTGTATAAGTTATTATAACTGCCTTGTTCTTATCGGTGTTGCTAACTTGTGTATATTTGCCTGTTAGACGTATCTCACGCAGTGAGAGTCATATTGTTAATTGCGATACTTAAAGCCTTATTGCTTTAACCTGGTTATGATTTTCACATGTGATAAATCCCTCAGTTGGTTTGTCTTTGTCAATGCGTCTTTAATTATTAATTATGTATATGTACTTCACGTGTGTATAATGGCATCTGAAAAATCACGTTCGCTATGAACCTCTTTTAAAAGGTTCCTGCTCGTCACTCTAGCGTGGGTGGCGGTTCCTCTGTATGTTGGGTGTCACTTTAGCGTGGACGGCGGTTGCTCTGTTGGGTGTCACTCTCGCGTGGACGGCGGTTCCTCTGTATGTTGGGCCTCACTCTAGCGTGGACGGCGGTTGCTCTGTTTGTTGGGCCTCACTCTAGCGTGGACGGCGGTTGCTCTGTTGGGTGTCACTCTCGCGTGGACGGCGGTTCCTCTGTATGTTGGGCCTCACTCTAGCGTGGGTGGCGGTTCCTCTGTATGTTGGGTGTCACTTTAGCGTGGACGGCGGTTGCTCTGTTGGGTGTCACTCTCGCGTGGACGGCGGTTCCTCTGTTTGTTGGGCCTCACTCTAGCGTGGACGGCGGTTGCTCTGTTGGGTGTCACTCTCGCGTGGGTGGCGCTTTCTCTGTATGTTTGGCGTCACTCAAGCGTGGATGACGGTTCCTCTGTTTGGTGTCACTCTAGCGTGGACGGCGGTTCCTCTGTTTGTTGGGGGTCACTCTAGCATGGACGGCGGTTCCACTGTATTTTGGGAGTTACTCTACCATCGTTCTAGCATGGACGGCGGTTCCTCTGTATGTTGGGCGTCACTCTAGCGTGGACGGCGGTTGCTCTGTTGGGTGTCACTCTAGCGTGGACGGCGGTTCCTCTGTATGTTGGGCGTCACTCTCGCGTGGACGGCGGTTGCTCTGTTGGGTGTCACTCAAGCGTGGACAGCGGTTCCTCTGTATGTTTGGTGTCACTTTAGCGTGGACGGCGGTTCCTCTGTATGTTGGGTGTCACTCTCGCGTGACGGCGGTTCCTCTGTATGTTGGACGTCACTCTAGCGTGGACGGTGGTTTCTCTGTATGTTTGGCGTCACTCTCGCGTGGGCGGTGGTTTCTCTGTATGTTTGGCGTCACTCTCGCGTGGACGGCGGTTTCTCTGTATGTTGGACGTCACTCTCGCGTGGACGGCGGTTCCTCTGTATGTTGGACGTCACTCTCGCGTGACGGCGGTTCCTCTGTATGTTGGACGTCACTCTAGCGTGGACGGTGGTTTCTCTGTATGTTTGGCGTCACTCTAGCGTGGACGGCGGTTTCTCTGTATGTTGGGCGTCACTCCCTCGTGGGGGGCGGTTCCTCTGTATGTTGGACGTCACCCTCGCGTGGACGCCGGTTCCTTTGTATGTTCGGCCTCACTCTCGCGTGGACGCCGGTTCCTCTGTACGTTGGACGTCACTTTAGCGTGGATGGCGGTTCCTCTGTATGTTGGGCCTCACTCTAGCGTGGACGGCGGTTGCTCTGTTGGGTGTCACTCTCGCGTGGACGGCGGTTCCCCTGTATGTTGGGCCTCACTCTAGCGTGGACGGCGGTTGCTCTGTTGGGTGTCACTCTCGCGTGGACGGCGGTTCCTCTGTATGTTGGGCCTCACTCTAGCGTGGGTGGCGGTTCCTCTGTGGCTCGGATTGTAAACAAAACAATTATGCGTTTTGTCCGAAAGTAGGGTAAGCTGAGGGAGCGTCATTTGGTTTCAAACTGCATTCCCATGTTGCCCCCAGCGTTGCTCCGTGATCCAATGTAATCAGTTGTATGACAAGAGGGATGACTACAACTTCCCTATGTAGAGCAAAATTCCAGCAGCTTTATCCCTTGGTGTCTACCTTTCGCAATTTACACAACTGTGTTTGTGTGTATGTGTGTGTTTGTGTGAGGGTGACTGTGTGTGTGTGTGTGTGTGTGTGTGTGTGTGTGTGTGTGTGTGTGAGGGTGAGTGCGTGTGTATGTGTGTATTAGAGTGTGAGAAAGTGTGTGTGTGAGTGTCTGTACGAATGTATAATTATACAAACAATCAACTACTTACTATTTTGTAGATGATCAAGAGGGCGTGGCTTAAATCAATAAGCTTTAGAGCAATTTAACAATGTCAATGTTCCGAATCTGTTTTATGCAAATAATTGCTTCTGTCGTGGATTTTGAGTGGTTATTTATAAGTTATTTAAGTGAGTAAGTGAGACAAAATCTCGAATTAACGAAAAAAATAATGAAAATAACGAGAAACTTCGATTTGAATTTTTTTTGTGGTACCAAAGTGCCATCATTAGACTTTCGTAAAGATTTCAAAACAATCATTGATGAAGTTCTATGTGGTGTCGTCTATGTATTTTATGTGCGCTTCGCCTCACCGTCATTCCATTACTTTAGTTCATCTCTGTGAACATGACTGAACTGACATATAAAAAATGTTGAGGAAACAAAAGGACCATTAACTGTTTACTAAACGGTCGCCTGTAATCGGAAGGTTTGACAAGTTGTTTTTAGATTTACAGGACCATGTAAAGCCAATGTTATTATAAAGCAATAAAACCCTTTCATTTGATACGTAATCCCTGTCTGAATGTCGAGTGCACGATTACGACTATATCATGAGCATGTGTTTCTGAATCACTATCAAATAGTAACAATACCAGGTGTTCGCTAAAAGGTGAGCGTATCCCGGCCCACCGGTGGCCCCCGTCACAAACACATGCAAACCCCGTTAATTCAGAACATCATGGCGTAGTATCTTCGCATGGGAGGAAACACTATAGTGGGCCCAGATGGCAAGCCCATACAATAGGCCCAGGTAGTAGGCCTATATAGAAGGCCCATATAGTAGGCTCAGATAGTAGGCCCAGATAGTAGGCCATATAATCGGTCGATATAGTAAGCCCGTGTAGTAGGCAAATAGTAGGCCATATAGTAGGCCCATATAGTATACTCGTATAGTAGGCCATATAATGGGCCCAGATAGTAGGCCATATAATAGGCCTGTATAGAAGGCCCATATAGTAGGCTCAGATAATAGGCCCAGATAGTAGGCCATATAATCGGTCGATATAGTAGGCCCGTGTAGTAGGCAAATAGTAGGCCATATAGTAGGCCCATATAGTATACTCGTATAGTAGGCCATATAATGGGCCCAGATAGTAGGCCATATAATAGACCATATAATAGGTCGATATAGTAGGCCATATAGTAGCCCAGATAATAGGCCAAGATGGCACGGAGAGACAGCTGGTATGCCCAGATAGTAGACACATATAGAAGACAGAGGTAGTAGGCAAATATAGTAGGCCCAGATGAATGGCACTGAAAGTAGAGACAGCTGGTATGCCCAGATAGTAGACACGTATAGAAGACAAAGGTAGTAGGCAAATATAGTAGGCCCAGATAAATGGCACTGAAAGTAGAGACAGCTGGTATGCCCAGATAGTAGACACGTATAGAAGACAAAGGTAGTAGGCAAATATAGAAGACAAAGGTAGTAGGCAAATATAGAAGACAAAGGTAGTAGGCAAATATAGTAGGCACAGGTAGTTCGCAATGTCCATAAAAACAGGATAAAAACAGTGAAGAAGCTAATGTCTTGAACACATTAGATATATTTATAACTACGACAAAACTGTAAATATGGTGAACACTGGACAATCCTGCTGGCACATAGTATCTGTGTGATCGGCCATACCAAAATACACGTCTAGTAAACGTACAAACAGCTTTGGGGTGAACTGTTTGGAGATTCGATATGACCGTGATGATCTGCGCGATATACGTTCATTTCGACGTCGCGAGACACGACCACGCCTATCAAGGAAGTGCAAGTGAATCTGGATGAAAACTATATATAGCGACGTGCATGCAGGTGCGTGTGCATGCGCGCGCGTGTGTGTATGGCTGCTTGTACTCGTCCGGACTAAAGCAGATTTTAAAGTGCTAGCCCACTAAGATACCATGCCAGAGTTTAACATGGCTACCCCACTCAGACACAGTTTACTGACTCTGAGCCGACCAGTCCTTGTTTTACAGCCTTAAAGCCGAGCGCCAGGCAGGGTAACAACAAATATCACATTTTAACATCT